CTTACGAAATCTATTTACATTCATATCTTATGAAATATCAACCCAGCTGAGTAATTTTCTACAGTGAAAATTGTAACTTCTTTAACAATTTGATCTTGCCTGTAAACCGGCATGCCTCATGTAACAATCTGTTATTTGAGAATAAATTATTATTATTATTAATAATAACTGTCTGGATGAGAAGAGACACGTGGACCTCAATTTAAGTCAGAACAAGGCGATTGGGGAAAAACAGTTCTAAATTTTATCATAAATACAAATGTACAATTTTATTTAAACAAATATTACCACTCAGTTATTCGACCAACAGTTGTTCCCACAATAATCGATCTAAATTACATAAAATAAACAAGATAAGAAAATTACCGAACGCACCAAAAATAAGTGCTATTCTACCTTTCTGGATGGATCAAGTAAAAATCCGTTCAAAAGACAATCGTTTAGTGCTTTATAACACAAAGTGTTTTCGATTCTGGAAAAAGGCTTCAATTCACAAACAAAATGCACGATCCCAGTCATTACAAGCAACACAAGCAAAGAGGGAACAAGCAATATGGCTGCCGCCAAGATTAAATATAAACTAAAACAACATCGATACAATTCACTTGGTCTTGTTTGTTTGGATCTTCCCATCGATGTGTTTCGGACTGCAACTGGCCAGTCTCTAATTGGCATATGTGCATACTGTGCGTATTGCCTCGATATACCTTAATTCACAAGCATGGTAAGCAGAGATGGATAGTGGCTAGCAGTGGAATCCAGGACGCGCGTTTCGTCCTATTTGGGACTCGTCAGCTGGATGTACCTGCATCTCAGAGATGATGTTCACTCTGGGACTCGAACCCAGTACCCTCGCTTCAAACGCCATCGCGTTATCCACTCGGCCACTGAGTCCTGATAGCCACTTGCTTGTGCGATGGGGTGAAGTTAGAATTCACTTGGTATTGTTTGTTTGGATCTTCCCATCGATGTGTTTCGGACTGCAACTGGCCAGTCTCTAATTGGCATATGTGCATACTGTGCGTATTGCCTCGATATACCTTAATTCACAAGCATGGTAAGCAGAGATGGATAGTGGCTAGCAGTGGAATCCAGGACGCGCGTTTCGTCCTATTTGGGACTCGTCAGCTGGATGTACCTGCATCTCAGAGATGATGTTCACTCTGCGCGTCCTGGATTCCACTGCTAGCCACTATCCATCTCTGCTTACCATGCTTGTGAATTAAGGTATATCGAGGCAATACGCACAGTATGCACATATGCCAATTAGAGACTGGCCAGTTGCAGTCCGAAACACATCGATGGGAAGATCCAAACAAACAATACCAAGTGAATTCTAACTTCACCCCATCGCACAAGCAAGTGGCTATCAGGACTCAGTGGCCGAGTGGATAACGCGATGGCGTTTGAAGCGAGGGTACTGGGTTCGAGTCCCAGAGTGAACATCATCTCTGAGATGCAGGTACATCCAGCTGACGAGTCCCAAATAGGACGAAACGCGCGTCCTGGATTCCACTGCTAGCCACTATCCATCTCTGCTTAACGTAGATACAGTTCAGAAAGAAACAGAAACTCAGTGAAAGCGAAAGAGATAAGTGAGAAAACTATTATGAAATAAAACATTACAATCTCGAATAGCATCAAAAAGACTAATAAAATGTACAAGTATAGAAACGTATGAGAAAAAGCTGCAAATGTATGCATGGAGGGATTTTCACACACAAAACCTTCGGAATGGATCTTACAATGGACTTTGGCTTTCCGTTTCGGTTTGTGAACATACATAACATGACCGATTGGCTGTCGCTCACAAAAACTCTACTGCACACATAGATTGTTCTGGTTTCTGAATAAACGAACCTACTAATTCTTCGCAAGCTGAATTCCCACCTTGTCACTTTTGGTTTATTGACCCTGACTGTTTTTATATGATTAAATGTGTTGGTTGCTCATCCTTTTCATCAAATGTCTGTAACTTAGTTTTGGTCTGACCATGGGTATTGAGTTACTCTTGATTTGGTTTACATTCCTGTTCCGACCTCTTTCGCTTCTCCTTCTAGTTTTGGCGTTCTCCCTTTCGTTTCCCTAATTATCTGATCAAATCAGTGAAAGCATGAAATATACATATTAATAAACCGTCCCCGTATTCGACTTTTTTCTTTATTTCGTTGTTGAATAGTGCGGCTCCAGTCAATGAGTATATCCGAAGATAGACGACATAAATATTTCGATGATAATCAGCATATAATGCAACAGTAGTCAGATACAGGGTCACTATAAGTGGAAAAGGAGAGGGAAGGTTGTAGCAGATTTTTGTAATTAGTTTTGTTACTATTTGCAAGACAAATCCATTTTAACTGTCCCACACAAGGCCAGAATAATGAACAGATCGTGAACAAATACCTCATTTGCCATTTAAAAAAGGGGCCAAACGCAGTGAAAAGAACTCTAACGGCTAGTAACTTTTCTCGAAATTAAACCTAAAACCATTTTACTGGCCAAAGATTTAAGCCATCTGGCTTAAGTTGAAATAGGTTGATAACTTTAACTCGAAGAAACATGGGTTAGCATGGTGAAAGATTGGGCAAAGTTTATTAGAATGAGATGTATTGACATACGTTTATGAGGAGAATACGATTGGCATAACGGAAACAATCATTATTGTAACCAATTGTACCAGTGATTGTTTTACTGTACCTGTTTGTTTAAGTGTACAAAAACACACTTTCTTCCGTTGTCTGTGACCTTGCACGAACTCGCATACGCTTGGTAGTTCCGCTCGTATACTTTGATACGATCTCGTTATTCTTTCGATACCACGAGATCGCCAACAAACATTTCTTATTACAATCGTCAACACCCTTCTGGTCTTTTGCTTACGGAGGAATCTAACCTAATATCTGTAGTGGCGATCATATTCAATTGCAACTCGACGCCAGATACTTAGGTATAAGAAGATGATAATTATTGGTATATAATAGGATCTGAGTATTGTGGACAACTCTTAAATAGTACTGCCTAATTTTACGCTTATGGATTTCACAAGCCATTCAGAGAGAAACTGCTAGGGACCAGAACCCCGATTATATGTTGACTCTGCATAGTGTCTTTTAGCCCACGTAATGCACGTGATCATGATCAGCCATGATTTTTCACCCTCGTCAATAGAATAGAGTCATATTACTTGACACTGAACAAAAGAAGAGACCTAGGGTTTATAGTCGTTTCTAGGTTGATTGATGGAGAAGCATGAGCTCGTTGTTCTGCTTAGGATTCACGTGATTTTATGACCTATTCTTGAGCACAAGTAGAATCAGGTTTAGATGTTTCCTTCGAAACCGAGTGAACTGATTTTACGGGGAATAGTCTATGCTTGCTTGTGGAATTATGATCTACTTCGTTACTAGTACTGCTCCAATAATAGACCTAATTTTAAAATTTTAGGTTTGTTATGTTGTAACTGCCTAATCTATAAGATCTTACTTGGAAGTCACATCATTGTCTACACTGACTCATCTAGTCGTAATCATCATCAATATATGATGGAGAAGACAAGTAGACTGGATATAACAATATATTTAATATGAATAGAAGCTACACAAGGGTGATCATGCCTGTAAGGTCGAGCCATGCCATTCAATGGATTTGAATTAATTGAATTATTTCCTCCCGCCTTCTCCATCGTTGAGTTTTTCTGTGCGTTAAATATTGAATATCTATCTCCTCAGGTGTTTCATGTTCAGCTTTGAGGGTTGTGATTTTAGGGCCCAACGCCACTACATGCTCACAGTTTTCGCTACTTGCGGTTTAGCATCCAAGCAAAAGCAACTCATTTGTTTATTATTAAGTCTGTTAGAACATTGGGTGGGAGGACATGACACCGGCAAGAAAAGGTGGCTTCGTTTAAAGGCTTTCCCAAGGGGTCTATCATTTATTCTATGAATAGTGTTGGTTGGACTTTCTCGATATTCGTGTGCCTGTAGTAAACGGAGTGGAACTGTTAATTTACTCCGTATTAAAATTGAATCCTACAGGGAGCATAAAGTCGTTATGTTGAATATGGTAGTATTAAGTGGTATTCTGTGACTATCGTGTTCATATATGTATTGTTGCAAATAGTGTCCAATAGAATTATTGATTCCGTTCACCAGTGTAATTAGTTATGGCTTTTGCTGTTCAGCAGTACTGTTAAATCTGAGTAACTGAGGCTTGCGATCAACACTAACAAATTTTGTATCTTGAGTGGTTGTTTGTTCTGTTCTATGGTCGCGAGGGTACAGCGGAGTTTTGAATACATCATTTTCCATTCTCAGTATTTGATTTGCATAAGCCGAACTTATGGGTTATATACCTCTATTTGTGTGAGGGGGTTCATTTTCAGTTTATTTCATGCAAGTTGAAAGCGAGTTTTTATCGGCGGTTGATTACACTTGAGGAAATGCTGCAGATGTCTGCACCAGTATCGGTGAGATAACGAACAGTCATCACTGGTGGTGTATTACTAGCAACCACAATTACGGATAAAACGCGTCTGAATAAGTTACTGATATTATAACAGTGGTAGTAGATCTGGAGTTCGCACAGCTGGAAAGTTTCCCCCATTTCTTCGATGGTTTGATGAGAGCTACATGGTAGTGTTGAATGTTTCATTTCAGTCCCGAACTCATGCCATATTTCCTTATTATATTAGGAATTTCTGGCACGACAGGAATATAAAAACATTTTCAGAGAGCTCTAGAAGTTCAAAATGAAATCAGTAATGAAATGTGCTTTAAACTTCAACACATATCTACTCAACGAGCGGGAAATGCCCCTAAGTGAAGGATACAATTTACGTTATTGACATCAAAATTATTTATTTTAATCCTGGTAAAAATTTGTTCTTTTCATTGCTGATGAAGAATCAAACCGAAAAGAATGCTTAATGGAAATACAGTCTAGACGTAAATACCACGGAACTTGTAGTACGCTAGATTCAACAGTTTGAAGGTCAATTGGGAGGTATTTCAAGGTGCGTGTTTTGACTCCTACCGCGGTGCCTTTTGATTTTAAGTTATTAGTTTGTCGGTTGGTTAGATTGTTACTGTTGATTGAGCTGTAGCAGTTAGTCTGAAGCTTGTCGAGCAGGGAATTTATGCCCGTCTCATTGGGGAATTACCCTAATAGCGATTCCAGTTAACAGTTTGAGTTGCACATTACGCTCGTGTAGCGAGTTACACTATCTGTTTCTGGTTTCGATTCCTGGATTGTCTTAATCCGAGGATTTTGTTACTTCTGAACGCTGTGTTTTTGCCTTCCTTAATAAGTGTAAGGGCGTTGTGTGCTTTGCTGAGTCAGCTAGTCGTCTTTCCTCTTCTCTACCTACTCTTCTCACGCTACTCTGTGTTCTCCCCCAGTATACAAAGTTTCTTCTGGCCTAACTCAGACCACTACAACTTGCGGCTGTTGTTGCGAGTTATCCAAACAGATGATGCTACGACTCTGTCCTCAGTGGTCTTTTTTCTATTTTCTTACATCGTATCCCTTGCCTCTGGCCACAAATGCCCTGGTACGGCCGAGAGTGGGGAGAGTCCGCTCTCCCTCTCGAAATGCTCTCACATGGCCACGCGTGTATAACCCCTGCCAGGGAAGTCCTACTCACTGCCTTCTCGTGGCGGGGGTGTTGTTTACGAAATTTAGAGGACGAAAAGCAAATGTCCGGCGCATTAACCAGGTTGGTGGACACGGAAAGTCCACCTAGGGGAGTTGGAAAACCCTGATTCCAAACCAATGGTGCACATGTGTTTCAGTATCCTAAAGAGACAAATGGCGTATGGATCAATCGTTGGTCACCGGCTACCATGGGACTGCATCTCCTCACGATGCTCCACTGCCTTTTGGATTAGATCTTTAGGCCAAAGGGTCCGGGTGTGGTTTCCCAAGAAAACTGCCTACTTAAGTCTGGGCGCCCCGTCAGTATTCCAGACCTCACAAATCGAGTGGTTTATGTGGCGCATATCTATTTGGTGCCTTTTCGTAGCCGTGTTTAAGTGCTTAAATAAATAAATACAAATCGACAAGATTTCCATCAACTGTGTTTAAAGAGGCTTGATCGCAAACTGTCACTCTCGAAGTTTATGTTTGAACCTCAATCATTCTTTAGTGAAAACATTCATTTCTATGATTTTCCCGGCGTAATAATCATAACAGGGGAATCCTTGAGATACATGGAGATGACAAAGCTGGAAATCTATACGAGGAAAAATTAGCTGTTCTGAGTTATGTGAAAATTGTTCATTCTGAAGAAGGATGTTATTATATCCCATCAGTTTTATACACTGTAGTATCCGCCTCCTGTTTTAATCAGATTACGAAAGACCAATGGATTTTAGAAACCCGAAGCAAATTGTTAATTGCTGGAAAGCTCATCCATTCAGGCTCAAGGAACCATGGAGAGCGACCATAACTTAAGCCTAGACTAAAATAAAGTGCATGCATTGACCGTGACCATTAGTGGACAATAAAAGCAAAAAAGGGACAGCGGGTGTAAGCAACCAAACACCTATCCTAACACACACAAACAGGTCTTGTTAGATCAGTCACCAGTAAGATTATTCCGGAAAAACAACTATTGTACACTCAGTAGAGGTGAGCAGATCCAAGTGTCTGAGATGTTCGTAATATTGACTGTAGTGAAAATATATTGAAAGAAAGCTTAAGGCGACCAAACCAAGGCATCGCATCTGTCCATGAAGTTATTGGCAGCTGGTCTAAGCTAAACTGATAGGTGTAAACTACCTGGTTGAGGTTCGCGTTATAAACACATTCAGTGGTTCAGGTTGTTGGGTAATGGGATTCAGAATCAATCAAGGTGGTTTAGATGCACTCACCTTTCCTCTCGATCTTAAGTCTCAGTAGTTCTTCATATATACTCATTCCTTTTGGAACCACATTCCTAGTGCTTAGTCTTTCTCACTACCAGTGTCACTACAGTTATTCTTATTCGTTTGCTATTCGATTCGTCAATCGTATATCTCGATTTGATATGGGGAACTTAGCTAATCTCCACGTGTTATATTCTACAGTGATCATAACTAACTTAAAACGCGAACGTAAGTCACGATGAATAGTCTTACTTAGGCTCTGGGATATACTTATTTCCTTCGTTTTTTTATGCTTACGATCAATTACCTTAGTTACTGACAATAAATAACAATATATCAACTGGCTACTTGTTATGATTGGTAAAGTCGAAAATCTTGCTGCGAATAAGCTTCTGCATGGATTCAGGTTAAAAAGAGTAAGTCTTTTTTTATTGTGGTGAGTATCCTTTTAGTCTTTCGAAGTGGCAGAGCTTCGATTACTAGCTGCTGAGCTTGAGCATCAGAAGTCGGGTGCAAAATACTTGCACTTGGCACGAGATGATCCAAACAAAACATTCAGGTCGGGTTAGATGTTACTTAATTTATTGTAGATCAGTGTTCAACTTAGGACTGTTCCACACGACGATTCTGGTGTTTTTCATGTTTTAGAACATACTGTTCTTTGCGGATCCCAAAAGTATCCTTGCCGTGATCCGTTCATGAAGATGACCCATAGAAGTCAAGCTACATTCATGAATGCTCTTACTGGTAAATTATATGCGAATGGCAACTCACTTTTTCTAGCTAGCGATTGGACTATGTACCCATTCAGCACAATGAATGATACCGATTTCCAGAATCTTTTAAAAGTCTATCTAGATGCTGTTTTCCGACCTAAAATCGAAGAGCTTGATTTTATGTAGGTTTGGGTGACTTTTAATTCTGAGTTTTAGGCAAGAAGGATGGCGTTTAGAACCAGAAAACCTTAAAGATTTGACATCAAATCTGGTTTTGAAAGGCGTAGTCTTCAGTGAAATGAAGGGTGTATTTGTGAGTTTCTTGAATTTTCTTTTTGTCCGTATACAGCAGTTTCTAAAAACCTGTCAACTTAACCTCTAAACTCACTACGCATTATTAACTTCATGTGATACTTGAATTTTATTCTTTTTCAATAAGATGTTAATCCGACTCATTTCAGATGCTTGAGTACTAGGTTTTAAGTCATTCTTTGTAAATGTAGTACTATTTAACTTCTTAAACGTTAGTTGGAAAAATAGGGCTCGATCCAGCATCCTGTTGACCACAGCCTAACTTTAACAGATTCATTTATTCTTACTAGTTTTAGTTACATCAATTCATTTTATTAACTTGGTTGTCGAAATCTCTCCCGAAACGTAAATTCCATATAGGCTTTATACATCTGCTTATCGTACATAGTTTGGGATTACTAATAAAAAACTAACCAGTTTGCTGAAAAATGTGTCTGTTCACTTATTTAATGTCTGTTTCCTTGTCATACTACGCTTCATCTATTTTAAAGTTACATTAATGCTTGTTATGGGTAACATTTGAAGTTGGCATGTTTACCTTCTCCGCTTCGATTCTCATCATGCTGCCTGTCTGAGCAAACGAGTGCCTGAAATAAATTCGTCCAACTTAATTCGTATTTGGCTCTTTATTACCACCGTCGCCCAAACAAGATTAACCTAGGTGGAATATACAAAATCAAACGAAGGATTTATGTTCATGGCTCATTCGTCGTTCGTTCGTCACAGCGTCAGATTTCGAACAATAAACCGTCGTTTCGTCGAGTTTAGAAATGAGGCTTACAAATTCGACTCATTTCCCCGTTTTTGTTTTCAGTTGCATAACAAATGTAATTTCTTTTCAGTCTAACTCACTGAATCGTTTTGCTCAAACTATCCAAAACAATTTGTTTCCGCAAACTTACGGTTTTGTTAGTGCAGGGAGTCCAGAACGTATTCCAACACTAACGTACGAGTATCTGAAGGAGTTTCACAATAAGTATTACCATCCGAGCAACTCATGGTAAGTATTCAGTAAGTTGTGTAGTTCAGTGTCAATATTTTATTTTGCTGGGGAGGTTTCAGTTTGCTTGCCGTTACTATCTTGCTTAAATTTTTTCACTGGTCTATATTCAAATAAAAAATTAAGAAATGATTACAGGTATCAAATTTATAGTTAAGTTTTCATAGCAGTTGAGTCAGCCTTAAAATTTTGTTCAAAGTGGCGTCACTAACTCTTATTAGTTACAGTATCATTTTTGAGTTAGTGTGTCTTGCCTAGCAGGTCATTGTAATTCCTATCTACTCACTGACGGATTTCAGCCCAGACCCGATTGAGGATAAGTTTCACAACCAATTAAATCACACCAGTAAAGCGCGTTTGACATATTGTGCTGCTATCTGGGTTATTGAATGCTGAAGTCGAGCTTCTAGGCACAGAGTAGAGTCGATTGGGTGGCTAATAAAAACATAATAATCGCAAGTTGGATAATGGCGATTGCCTCATGCTGTTCTTTGCAATCCACAATCTGTTTATGTTCAGCCTAGTTCCCCGCACAATTGTTGCTAGTATCCCAACTTGGGCCATTCCTTTGCAACTCATTCCTGAGGTCAGATTGATCACATTGCGACCAGCCACCTCTGGTATGCTCGTTTACAAGGCTGTCACTACTTTCGGAGTATATATCTAGATTCTGATCACACCCTGATTTGCCTTGATATTATCTTGCGCTCGTGTTGTCAACAACGTAATCGTTGTGATTGAATCGATGCAACCGAATCGGCTGCAACTTGTGTTTCATTCAAGTATCCCTGTCAGGCTCAAGTCTAGCTATCACCAGTCAACCGAAAAGTGTAGATGGGGACTGGCCGCATATGCTTGATAATGGCAAGTGAGGTCACTCGCGGCTTTGCGAAACGTCTTGCTTATAAGCATAGAGTTTCTATAAGCTCCGTACGACCTCTTAGAGCACATCGATGTACTCTAGTGGATCACAAGCTTGATGCAATATGTAGATCTGTACCTCGAAGAATTTCTTATAGCATGCCTGAGAACCAATTAACTTAGTGATCAACGCACGGTAATGAGTTGAAAGCACCAGGTGCATCTAGTAACTCCCAGGTCACTAGCAAAAAGTATCCGGTTTCAGTGAAACAGTTCGTGAGGTTGATGATACGCCAATCAGTAGTAACCTTCAAAAGCAAGTTTCCATCTAGGTCGGAGATGTAATGATTATATATTCACTTTTCTTTGAATGCTACAGCATCAAACTTACTGAAAGACAGTAGTTGTTGAATTTCATGACAGGAGCCCCTTCAATTCGTTGGACAGGACTATGGCTTGAAAGTTTTAGTAGAACAAAGTTGTATCTAAAAATTCTTTTCACATATTAAAGGGCTCTACTCAAAAACACTTCAGTCACACTGAAGCCATTCAACTACTTCTCCCTTATTGTTGCAATCCAGAAGTGGAGTGAGACGGTTTATCAATCTCCTTATTTCTCTCCAACTCTGCCACCGACATTCTGGAAACTGTTCCGAAGTACGTGATAATGGTGTGGATCTTTATCCCAGGAAAAGGATTTTCGACTTCGAGTATGCGGGTAATGTCGTCTTACTGCACGATGATATGCTATGCAAATACTATTTAGTTAACCGGCAGTGTCCTGAAGGACTGGATGTATTTTGTATCTTTCGAATGGAAATTACTTTTAACAGACTGTCGCAGCGCATATATATCTGGTGCCCCTCTGTACCAATATTTATGTGTTTAAATAAATGAATAAAATTTATTTATTTATTTATTTAAACACATAAATATTGGTACAAGAAAGCACCAGATACATATGCGCCGCACAAATCTCATTTGATTTGTGTGGGGACTGTGATACTGCCCAGGTGCCCAAACTGAAACAGGTGGTTTTCTTAGGAGACCACACCCTGAGCCTTTGACCTAAAGGTCTAATCCACAAGACAGTGGAGCATCGTGAGGAGATGCAGTCCCATGGTAGCCGGTGATCAATGATTGATTCGTACGCCATTTGTTCCCTCAGGATACCGAAACCCATGTGCACCATTGGTTTGGAATCAGGGTTTTCCAACTCCCCTAGGTGGACTTTCCGTGTCCACCAACCTGGTTAATGCGCCGGACATTTGCTTTTCGTCCTCTCAATTTCGTAAACAACACCCCCGCCACGAGAAGGTAGTGAGTAGGACTTCCCTGGCAGAGGCTATATATTCGCTGGTCATGTGAGAGTATTTCGAGAGGGAGAGGTGACTCTCCCCACTCTCGGCCGTACCAGGGCATTTGGGGGCAAAAATGAATAAAGTAGTGTAAATCAGAGCGTTTTATGTCAAATATTGTTCTCTGTGGTGCTATCGTGGTGTCGGTCTCTCTGTATTAAGTTGACTTCACAACAGTTTGATGAAAGTAGTCCTCTGCTAATTGAAGATGTTCATCGACCATATACAAAGATTGTTGTCTTTGAAGGATTTCTTACATCTTATGCCTATATCGCGTAGAAATGACGAGCTTCGTCAATGTGTGTCCGGTCGCAATGATGATAATTCAGTTGGTGTTACAATCCGTCCACCCACCTGTGTGTTAAAATTATCCACTGTAATCATTACATCTGAACATAACTGGAAGAAACCCACTGTTTAATTAGTTTGAGCTACAATTAGTGAGAGCCCAGGCAAACTATGACGAGACGATTTCGGGAATCCCTGTCCTTGCAGACTCTTATATAGGTAAAAAGCGCAAGAAAGGCCATTGATTGAAATCTATTCAAGAAGTGTCTTTTACTTTGGAAATTAGTGGTAAGTCTACATCATCAAGAAAATTTGTGGAGTCTCTAGATACACGAAAGGTGAATCATGTTGGCTTCCTAAATTGGCTGGATCAGATAAAGTGAACATTCTTGCCTCGATCTTGTATATGGGTTTTGAAGATACTGTATATGCCAGAAGCACGAGTTTCTAGCTCCTTGTCTTATGAAGCTTGTTATTCTGTTTTATGCAGTTTGGAATTCTGTCCAAGCCTTCTCGAAATATGAAAGGGTTTCTTCATCAACTAGATTATTTCCTTTCTGTAAAGAAGAAATGACTGGAAAGTACTGTAATTTACTAGTTTTAAGGAGTGTACACGGGCTTTTAGATAGTTACGCAACTTCTTGTACAGTTCAAAACCTACTAATTTCCCTCCAGGTTCAGTTTCTATAGCACTCCTACTGGGGGTTGCATGAGATTTCGGGTCGACTGATGTACAGTAATTGTAAACATGAGTATGAAGCTCCATGTATCTTTTTCTCTTGATTGTCTCCAGCCTGAATATAGCGTCGAAACCACTTTTTAGGTCATCCCAAACCAATGCCAAGTTCCCAGTAGAAGCAGACATATTTAACAAAAAGGAGGGTTAATTTACACAGGGAAGCTAGTATGCGAACAGCCGCACATCGGTACAACTGTCCAATAAAATCCAATAAACAATAGTCTTTTACCTTTTTTGGACGTGAAGATTCTTATTGACTATTGCTGTGCGTTACTCCTCAAAACATCTACTGATTGGTTTATTTCAGCTAATTTCTTGATGTCAAAGAGCTGAGGTTGTACCCCAAGGCACCATCTTAGGCCCTTTACTTTTCCTTCTGTATGTTAATGAATTGCCTTATTACTTAAGTCGTCAACATTGCTGTTTGCGGATGATCTCAAAATCTGGAGAACAATAAGAAGTGAGTCTGATCGTTTTCATCTCCAAGCTGACTTAGACGAATTAGTTAGATGGGCTCATGATTGGGGCCTGGAAGTTAATTCCAGGAAGAGCGTGCTCATGCACATCGAGCATGACAATAGTTACCATTATATCATTAATGTTACATCTCTCTCACGCGTTCAGGAACATAAAGACTTAGGAGTAACTACAAGTCACGACTTGAAAACTACTACGCACTGCAACGCGGTTGAAATGTCTAAATCTTTTCCGCTTGTCTTATCGTAGGACTCGAGGTGACCATATACTGGCATTTCGTATCTTTAATAATGATTTGGGTGTTAATATGTCTTATTTCTTGCTCCCTCAAGCACTGATAATCTCCAAGGTCATAGCAAGAAGGTTCACAAACCGCCATCTAATAAACTAAAGATGGGGTCCCGTTTTTCTCATCCAGTGGTCAATGACTGGAAAGCATTACCCGAACAAGTGGTACTAACCCCATCAGTGAACATTTTAAAGGAGAAGCTGGACCTCCACTGGAAGACAATCTGTCAGGATTAACACACGTTCATCAACTTCTATCCATATTACTGAAGACTGAGGTATCCTGTTGTCTCTGAAGAATGAATAAGATCTAAATTAGATTAGTAGGGAGAAGGACGATTGATGAGCTAGGTACGTTACAATGAATCAGATCGTTCTGTAGGGAACAGAAGAAGCTTTCGCTTAACAACGTTCCGTACCCACTAGCAGTTCTCACAGATTTATGGATAGTTTTTGCTGTTTAGGTCCTTATAACTTACATCGAAATTTCATGGAGGGTAGATGAGATGTGCTATTCGTAAGTTAAATCTTTTTTAACCTCAGTTTATCATACTCAACTTAGGGCCTGACGCAAACGAGTTAGCCAAAGTCTCCATACATGTTGAGACATCAAGGAACATATTTTCCAGCCAATTTAATTCGATTAGATCCCCATGATGCGAAAGTTCGACCATGGAGTTAGTGGATTACGTACTATATGGCAGTAAAATTATTCTGTTAATACTTCCGATTGTCGTCTGCTGTGTAATGATTGTCATTTCAGTAGCTTACTGGTTTTGATATTCCCTAGCCTAATAAGTGTTCTCTCTCAGGGCTGAAGTGCATGAATAGTGGAATTACTGACTATATAATCCTTCAAACAGCTTTAATGTCTAGAAAATAACCGGTTACTCTAATTATACGTCCATGATTTTAATATGATTGGGCAGTAGTTAATACATGAGTATTTGCTTATTTGCTGAATCAGAGTGGGTTCATGTCATTCAAATTAAAGATCCCCACCTAGCAGCCCATGTATTAATTATACCTTACCTTTTGGATTTGTACAAGCAGTAAAAAGTTAAATTGCAGTACTATTATGATTTTGAATATGTTGTACTCTTCAAAACAACTGTTGTCACATTAACACGCTTTATGATCTTTACTGTTAGTCAGGGCGTATGCATTATGATGATCGATTAAGTACTTAATGATCTAATAGGTTAGGATTTATTGGTTTGGTAATTCTTCACACGAAAAGCATATTCGTCGTTATCACTCTAGTTTTCTCATTTGGAGTCTCGTATTTGTTAGTCTCGTGAGATGTTTACCGGAAGAATGGCCAAAACTAATTTCGATACTTCACATGTGATTTTTTCTACTTTCAGTTTCTATACTTATGGTAATGTAAACCTGGAACAATGTCTTGAATATCTTGATTCAGAGTATCTTCAACATTATAATTTTTCACTTGAAAACAACTCAGTACCATTAGAATGTATGTGGGATGAACCCGTAAGTTCCTCCACTTTTTGGTTTCGTTTACTGGTCTGCTGTAAACTTTCATGTTGATGAATTCGATTTAAAATTCTAAGCTTTTGTCAATATTGTGATATGAAACATAAAAGAGCGTTATGAGTGTTATGGAGGAGGTTTTCTATGACGTGATTTTAGGAAATTTTCACTTGTCAAAACCAATGAATGGAATACTAATCGATGGATAGACTCAATGATATGTCGTGGAGGAGTGTTGGCTTCTCATGAGACCGTATAATTGACTTAGGCCCCGAATGATTAGAAATAAAAAACAGGACCATTAACCAGATGAATGGATCTTCATATAATAGAATAACATATTTGTATGCGAAATATGGACACAAAATAAACATAATAAAATGCCATATGCGATAAGAGAAAATTAGCTTACTTATTCTCCAATCGATTATGACCTGACTGCTACGTCTAATCTTTTGACATCGTATCAATAAGACTATGTTTATTCAGAATATTTTAATCTTATTTCTTTTGAGAATTAATCACTTTCTTTAGTTGGAATGTATATGGACAACATTCATACTGTAAATTATGCCTTAGTACTGCAAAGATTGAAAAAAATTATGCTTAATTTCCTCCAAACCTTCTCATATAACGGCTGCATTATATCCTCTTATAAGATATGCTCACTGCTTTCATGCTGTCAAAATACTTCCACATATGTATGGTATCGGAAGGTTGTACAACTAAGAGTCTGTAGAAGTAATCAGAGACCGTTCGGGTTCTAAACTGATGACGACCCTCCTGTCTCTTCTAAATGTCTCCTTCATGAACAATAATATCTCTTTTACGACTGAATAGGACCTTGGTTATATTTTTGGTCAAACGGTATGGCTTAGTATGTTATTCTTGCTTGTTTGTTGTTTGACTTCATGGAACAATGGTTTAGCCACTAAAGCCCTCAACTTTCATTTATTAGAAATCAGGTTTGAACTACGCTTCATCTTTGGTCCAGGTTTCCGGGTATTATCACTAACATCCACATAAAAGGTGATTCAGCTGAATACATGAACCTTACCCTTTTATATTAACGAATTATATATGATTTCCCATTTTCTACACTATCCTTGGATATTTCAGCGAATTTCAGGTCAGTCTTTGTTCTTCCTTGTTTTTCGGCTTCCTCCAGAGCTTGGGTTACTCATTAAGTTTTAGTTATACTGTGTTTGTATGATTTAATCGATTTGATCAATGTGTTTATCCGATAACCTAATTAATACATTTGGTCTTGTAAATTACTTTTTGTAGAGATTAGTTCAGTTGACATGTGAACCAGATCCAATGAATCCCCACCCAGATCGTGAATGTTGTGTATCTCTTAGCTTCCGTTTGGTTGAGTAAGTTTACATTATTTGCACTTGGACTAACAATAAACTGAAGCTCTGGAGATGAGCTAATTTATAATAATTTAAGTAGAGAGTTTTCAGCAACTCAGAATCGAATGAGTCCCTATCATCCATTTGATACCAAGAAATGAGTTATCGGATAGTTAAAAATCCGAGTAATATTAAAAACAAAATTAGGATTTATATTGGTTGAGACTGTCGTTATATTTCTTCTCGACTTTGTATTTACATGAAATGTTCCTGGTTTCCTCAAATAAGTACAGTTTCATTCATATTAATTAAATATTCAGTACCATCGCTAAATTAACTACTATGAATCCGGGGTTCATCTTCTTGTGCTAACGTGGTATGGCAACTTGGACCGATGCATATATGTGCCTGGTCCTACGTTGTAGCTGACTGACTCAGTACCATAACGTTTGAGCTTTCACATTTGAAAGCTTTGTTTTTAACTTATGTATTACGTAAATTAATTTAGTTTTCAGATGACATTATTGGTATTTATTTTCCTCTTCAATGTGATTGATAACTAGTTTCGTCAAGTCTTCTTGTCTTGTTTCTATTAGTTCACCCAAAGTTTAATGAAATTAAAATATGAACAGTGAGTTGAAACACTATTATTGTAAGATGGATAATTCTTTAAACTGTATGAGCTTTTCACATACGCCAACAAGCCCACCAATTTACTAATTTTCTTTTCAAACTCGAACATATACACATTGCCATGTCATTTAACCTAGCGATTACAATATCGACAAGATCCGATTAGCTTTAAAAATCTGTAACTAATTGTTCACTTTGGTGGCAGCCTGAGTAGTTCACCAATGACTGTGATCCACAGTAAATGGTATTTGTATGTCTTTAAAAAGGAATATTTATGTTTTTTTGGATTGCAGATAGACTTTACTGATGAGTCTGGCCAAACTTGAAACATAGGCTCAGGACTGTCTACTGGTAATCTCTAAAAAACCATATACCATAATGTTTCCATATTCAGATCACTACTGAAAATATCAATGAGTTTGTTTTCCGTTACTGCTCACATACAGCTGTTATCTTATCGTTTGAAATTTAAGTTCCTTTAAAAACGTACTTATTCTGAGTGAATAAACTAGTTTACTTGCATCTAAACCGACTAGTTAATAATCTTCTCTATAACTATCAGATCCTTCAGTATTAACTATTATTTTAGTCATACTACTAGTAAAAGCTCAATAAAAATAATCGAGGAACCTGTCTAGCTTTCCGTTAGCTTTGTTGGCGTGAATGAAAGGAGCTGACAAAAATATGTTTTCGGGGTTTACAAACTGCTATGTCATTTAATTACAGTCATTTCGTAATTTGTACTCAAAATTCAGTTTGAGGTAGGCTTACATTAAACAAAATGTGTAAAGTTTATTCAAAATCCAAACCTGATTCTTATAAAATTGAAAAATATATGTTAGGTTTTTTAGCGGTTTCAAAAATAACAATTTTTCTCATGTGGATGACCTATTATGCTAGTTTGGCTTCGTGAACTAGCGTATAAACATGTTGATAATAATTTAATGGGGATGTTTAACAGTTATTTAGTCATTTGCAACATGAGATCAGACACATATATGAATTGGTCCAAGTTAGTACACCACATTTGCACAGTTATATAACTTTATCAAGACCAATAACGGCGCCAGACCAAAACGTGGCACAAATCAATGAAGTCATTGACAAGTGGACTGGGCCATGTTGGTAGGTGTAGACTACCTGGTTGGGATTCGCGAGATGACAGCAACCGATGGTTAGAGACCTTGAATGACATGGCTCAAAATCATTTGCAATGGCGAAGGTGCATCCACTCTTTGTGTTCTACCAAATTCTAATCTTCTGAATTCCTCATGTCTTTATCTTTTTCTCTTTCCAAATTTATTTCACTGTACTATACTCCTTCAATAATTTCTTCAAACCCTAATCTTTTGGATTTCTGATTATACTCCTACTACTTCTACCACTATGGGAATTGAATCGACAACCTTATCTCTGTGCTAATGTGGTATGGCAACTCGAACTGATGTACGTACGTACGAAGTTCTACGTTGTGACTGAATAACGGCGCAATGATTGTAACAGTAGTGGTATTATTATTATTTATTTATTTATTTAAACACATAAATATTGGTACAAGAAAGCACCAGATACATATGCGCCGCACAAATCTCATTTGATTTGTGTGGGGACTGTGATACTGCCCAGGTGCCCAAACTGAAACAGGTGGTTTTCTTAGGAGACCACACCCTGAGCCTTTGACCTAAAGGTCTAATCCACAAGACAGTGGAGCATCGTGAGGAGATGCAGTCCCATGGTAGCCGGTGATCAATGATTGATTCGTACGCCATTTGTTCCCTCAGGATACCGAAACCCATGTGCACCATTGGTTTGGAATCAGGGTTTTCCAACTCCCCTAGGTGGACTTTCCGTGTCCACCAACCTGGTTAATGCGCCGGACATTTGCTTTTCGTCCTCTCAATTTCGTAAACAACACCCCCGCCACGAGAAGGTAGTGAGTAGGACTTCCCTGGCAGAGGCTATATATTCGCTGGTCATGTGAGAGTATTTCGAGAGGGAGAGGTGACTCTCCCCACTCTCGGCCGTACCAGGGCATTTGGGGGCGAAATATTAGGTGTAAACGATATGATTGAAGAGGAAATTCTAGGTTCGTGAAATAAAAAGGAAACCATGAAAGTATTTTGAAATTAGGAATCAAAAGGAAGAATATAAGTGGTGCATCTACCCTTCTTCGATCGATCCTTAGCCGTTTCACACAACTTCTTCACCCATGAGTTTCAATTGTCGAATGAACCCCAACTAGGTAGTCTGAAATCACTGTAAGGTTAAACATCCAATCGTTTCCCAGTTGTTAAATGATGTATACCATGAGTTTGATGACAATTAATTCCTATTCTGCTTTTATTTCAGTATTTGCGATGTTTACAAAAATTTTGTGCTTGGAATAGTTTGTAATTTGTTGCTAAATGGTGATAATGCACCCTTGTATCGTGGTTTAATTGAGTCTGGATATGGCCTAGACTGGATCGGCCGTGTCAACGGAATCGATCGCGAAACTCGCACTACAAGTTTTCATGTTGGGGTACAAGGTGTTCGAGCAAATGATCTGGAGAAATTTCCCCATATAATCAATGATATATTATCCGAAGTCGTTCGGTAAGATTTATCATTTGTTTAAAAATTTCTATTTATTTGCTTGTCATTTTAGAAAAAAACTTGTTTGTTGTAAATGAACGACTTTTTTATCAGTATTATTAATTTTTTAGTTCGTTAGGAAGATGAATTTTTGACCAAAGTAATGCATACTTGAGTAGTAAATTATGTCAGCTTCATTGTTTAGTAACGTTTTTGCCCTGTCACCCTATCCTGACCACATACACAGCACAAAAAGTAGCTATGATAACATCCATTACTAAGCTAATATGTATATGCTAAATGTGACATTTGAAATCATTGCTCTGTTCTCTCCATCAATATTTTCGAAATTACAGTCTCATGTATTTGCCTATCATAATGTTTAGGTAATCTCAAAAAGATATCCAACATCTGTGAAAATAGATACACAAGACTGGTCATCTTTGAGAGTAACGTCGCTTGCAGCTTCGCGAAACGTCCCGCTTATAAGCACTGGGTTTCTACAGGCTCCTTACAACTTATTGAAGCTCGTCTACTCCGAGTGGCCGTGAGTTTGACCACAAACGAAGGCCGTTATGTAATGAAATTGGGTAAATCTTGCGTAAGGACCGAGAAGCCTCGTGGTCGGAGCGTGCTAATGAGTTAAAAGCGGCAGCTGCATCTGGTAACTACCGGAAGCTCTTTCAACTCATCCGAGCCACTGGCAGCAAGAAGTCTGGTGTGAGCGAAACAATCTGTGTAGATGATGGGATGCGAATCACTAACATCTATCGACGACCTTGACGACGGACAGAGTTTTCCTAGGAGGAGTTCAACTGGTCTGCTGCCCCGGCAACATCGATCAGACTGTCCTATCCTCTATGGCCTATGACGACTGGTCCACAAGGAACCCCAACTCTTGAAACGCTACAAATCACCTGGCCCAGATGACCTATCTCTGGCCCTTTTCAAAAATGGTGATGACTTTTTGTTTAAGGAACTGACTACGTTGTTTTCAAAGGTCTGGCAGTGAGAAAGTGTTCTAACGTCGTGGAATTAGTCGATTGTGGTGTACCCACCTTTAAAAAGGGTTCACGTTGTTTTTGTCAGTCAGTCAGTCAGCTACAACGTAGCACCAGGCACATACATGGATCGGTCCAAGTTGCCATACCTCATCAAAACAAGATGAATTCATAGTAGTTAACTTAATAGTGGTAATATATGAACGAAAGATTGTATATAAGGATATAGTACAGGAAGGAAGACAAAATGTGTATACACCCAAGCCATTGTGATCGATTCTGAGCCATGTCACCTAGAGTCTCCAACCATTGGTTACGATAGTCACGCGGACCCCAACCAAGTAGTCTGCATCTACCAACATGGCTCAGACTACAAGTCAGCGACTTTATGGACTGATGCCATGTTTTGGTTTGGTCGCCTTTAACTTCCTTCCGACCATCGGCAATACTAGTCAGCGTGGCGCGTTGTGGTAATCGGTGTTCAGACATACGTAACACGTGGTCCAAACATCTCATTCGATGAAGATTCATCACCTCATCAACTGATTTACCACCATTCCCTGATACTCTGTGTCTAATCTCACTATCACTTACCCGGTGATCCCAGCAGATGCGAGCAGTATTTCTAAGACATATGTGGTGAAACACTAGTAGTTTAAGAGTATCTTCTACTATTAATGGCCACGTTTCACAGCTGTAAAATAGAACAGAGCGAACTGCTGCACAGTATACTCATCCCTTAATTGATGGACGGATATCTCGTCCTCACCATATGTGACGTAAGTTGGCAAAAACCAAACGAGCTTTTCGGATCCGTGCTGAGATTTCGTCAGACACGAACCCATTAGGGCTGATCAGACTTTCAAGATAAGTGAAGTTGTCCACGCGTTCGTTTTTGTAACAACTATCAAGGGATAAGTCTACTTATTATGTCCAAACTATTGGCTTCTGTCACACTTCGTAGATTGTCCAAAACCCTTGAAAGATTGGCTTGCGAGGAGCAGACTGGTTTTCGTTCTGATCGAGAATGTATTGATGATATATTCACCCTCCGCCAAATATTAGAACACCGTTATACTTATCACAGGCTAACAATCGCAGTGTTTCTTGGCATCAAGGCTGCCTTTGATTCATTGGACGTGACTGTTCTCTGGAATTGTCTGTGGAAGAAAGGTGGGTCTGAGAAGTTTAGTAACATCTTGAAAGCCCTATATACAAACACTTTAGGCAGAGAGGGCATACAACCACCTTTCTCCATTGTTCCATTCAAGAAGTGGGGGTTCTGCAGGATTACTTAATCTCACTATTCCTCTTCAACTTTGCTATCTATGACGTTCTGGAAACAGCTCTCATAGATGTAGGTTTTGGTGGTGTAGATCTGTTGTCTGGAGAAAGACTTTTCGACCTTGAGTATGCAGATGATATTGTCTTCCAGTGCTATGATACCCAAGTTATGCAATCCGCATTTATTCAGTTGGCAATTAGTGTCCGCAGGTATGGTATGTACTCCGCACCTTTGAAGTGCAAAATAATTTTATAAGACTGGCAAGACCATAATCCAGCACTCACCCTGGGTAGTAAGCAGATAGAAGTAGTCGAGAAGTTCGTGTATCTGGGTGGCTGCATAAGTGCTGGTGGTGGCGTGAGTGATGAGATCAATTAACGTATAGTGAGAGTCAGAGCGGCTTATGCCAATCTGAGCCATATTTATCGCCTTCGTGATGTTAGTCCGGCTGTAAAAGATCGGGTCTACAACGCGTCGGTGAGAGCAGTTTCGCTCTATACTTGTGAAACCTGGCGTCTTCGAGTTGAGGATGTTAGACGTCTCTCTGTGTTTGACCATCGTTGTTTCCGAAGGATTGCTGACATCCAGTGACAACACCTTGTTGGTAATGCAGAGGTTCGGTATTGTGTGTTTGGGCACAGGGGTGATAATTCAATTAGTGTCACTATCTTGAAACATCGACTTCGGTGGATTGGACATATTCCACGAATGTCGTCCTAGATAATTCCACGTTGTGCATTATTCGTCGACTCTGGGACTGGTTAGAAAAGGCGGACAGGTGGTCTGTGTTTGACATGATGTTGTGGTATGAAAGGACGCTGTACAGGACTAGCTTCTGTTGCTCCTTCATGACTCCCTGGTTAGGTCCTAGAGATGGTGCAACACAGTGGCTAGAGACGTTAACAGATATGGCTCGGAATGAAAGTTATTGGCGATTCTGTCGTGACTTTCTTCTACATTCTTCATAAAAGTGAGAGAAACGTCTTTGAGTGGTAGGATTCTTTCTAGTTGTTTCTCATAACTGAACCGTCTCCCATTATTATTATTATTATTATTATTATTATTATTATTATTATTATTATTATTTCACTCTCATACACTAATTTCTGTTCGTTGTTTTTTTTATTATACCCGCTTTACATTTTCTGTCTTTTCACAACCTCATTTTTATTGTATGCCACATGTGTATCTTGGTGTCCCCTAATAGTAATGTTTATATGTTCGAATAAATTAAAGAAACTACTCACGAAAAATTACTGCCCTTCACTACCAACGACATAGTACCTACAGTCCAGCGCTGACAACCTACGAACTACTCCTTACCGCCTACTTATGACTTTTGACCTGGGATTTACGATCTGTTACCTACGACGCATTACTTAATGCTTACGATGTTTTAGATACAACCTAATCCTTGCGGATTACGATACGCGACCTGATAGGTACTATTTTTGACCTGCCCCCAAATGCCCTGGTACGGCGGAGAGTCCGCTCTCCCTCTCGAAATGCTCTCACATGGCCACGCGTGTGTAACCCCTGCCAGGGAAGTCCTACTCACTACCTTCTCGTGGCGGGGGTGTTGTTTACGAAATTGAGAGGACGAAAAGCAAATGTCCGGCGCATTAACCAGGTTGGTGGACACGGAAAGCCCATATGTATCTGGTGCTTTCTTGTACCAATATTTATGTTTAAATAAAAATAAAATAAAAATAATGTTTTTTTTGACCTACTGCCTTTAAATACTGTTTACCACATACGATGTGCTACCTACGACCTTCTACGTACGGCTAAGTAATTACTGCTTACTGCTTACCTACTAGAACCTAATGCTTTTTACCCATAACCTGCTACGTACCAGCTACTAGTTCGGTATTCATCTTAGTTCATCAATTTGTAGCGCTCAACATATAATCCAGGTTTTACATTCTTTATACATAACTGTCTGCTTATATGTATATATTGATGTGCCTAAAATTGATATTAAAGCATTATTACTAACTGAAGTTATAGGTAGTCGATCAATCAGTTTTAGATAAGATATAGATGATCTTGTCGCAGTCAGAATTAGGTCGAGAATGAAATAAATTCATTTAAAAAGGCAGAAGTATGAGTGAAATCTGCATAGGTGTGGTATCTATATATCCATCACCAATCCTTCATTGAATTTGTTTCCCAGAGATTGTGCAATGCAGTGGTTTGTAATAGGCCAAAATGGAAACCTGTCATTTTCTCCTACATTCTCCATGAAAGTGAGATAGGTGCCGTAGACTGAGAGAAATGTTTTTCGGCTGTATTTTAATCTGAATTGTATCTTTTATTAAAAACAAGTTGCATATCTTCATCTATTGAAGTTGTCACACGCATGTAATTTAAGTTTTTTTCAAAATCTTTCAGTGAAGCTCTGCTTCAATCTTGTAGTGCCGCGATTCGTTAACCGTTTACTTCGATAACCGTTATAATTCTAAACTTAACGGTGCGTAAAATCAGAAGACAAAGGATAGCAGCAACTACAGTTTATTGTCGAATGACTCAGGTTCGGAAGCTAACAACACCTGAGCGAATATGAACGAGCGAGTGAACAGGCAAACAAGCAAAGGAAATGAACGAGGAGCAAGCGAGCGAGCGAGCGAGTAGCAAGCAATTACATAGGCAATTTATAGTCAAATTTAATAAGGGCACAGCAAAGCAAAACAAAGGCTGATAATAATATTTGTGTGCGTACATATATGGGGAGG